GATGTTGGGGGGCCAGGGCCTCAGTCCCAGCAGGAACTCATTAGCATAATAGGCCACGCCCAACAGCAGGAACTCATTAGGATTGGCTACATTAGGGGTGTGTGGCCTAACATGCAAAGGAGTTCCTGCTACAAAAAAGCCCTGGGTTTTGACAACAAACAAGGTCAACAGAATAAGAAGCAAAAGGTGGGTGTGGCTGGATGACCACACTTCTGGTAACATGAGGGTGTGGCCTAATATGCCAATGAGTTGCGCTGTCAGAGGTGTGGCCTAATATGCTAATGAGTTCCTGCTGTTGGGTGTGGCCTATTATGCTAATGAGTTCCTGCTGGGCTTTTTCTACAAAAAGAGCCCTGAAGAGCTCCATTTTACAGGCCCTATGGAACTGTAAAAGGTCCTGCAGGGCCCTGGTGTCATCCGGGAGCTCATTCCACCAGTAAGGGGCCACCACAGAAAAGGCCCTGGCCCTCATCACCGCTAGTCTGACTTCTTTAGGACCTGGGAGGGCCAGACAGTTTTGGGACCCTGAGCTCAGTGCTCTCTGGGGAACATGTGGGGAAAGGCGGTCCCTTAGGTAAGTAGGTAATGATGTGGGTAACTCTGCTTTGGGCCCCCATAGGAGTGATTAACAATAATTAGGTACACAAAAGGAAAACTCAATGTCCTTCGATGGTTGCCAAAATACAAATAGTCATTAAAATCAGCTAAAACTTACTCAAACTCCAAAAGGTAGGGGAAAAACCCTGCCTTTACTTAGTGATCCTGTGAAGAAGTGCTCGGCAAGTGCAACTGCTCCATCCGCTGCTGCCCAGCGCTCCAATCCTGCCTCTTGTCTGGGGCTTATGTAGTGCTGGGGGGGCACTGTGATTCAGTGGGGAGGGGGTTTGGCCACTGGTAGAGATGGGAGTATTAGCTGCAATTGTTGTCTGCAATCTGTAATGCTGATTGGAGGGGACATGACAAATAATTGATGGGGCATCGCCCCCTTTTGCACCACCATGGTGTATAGGATTAAACTCACTCAGCCCAGTCCAGGGGTGAGAGGGAACCCTATATTTCAGCACCTGAAACAGAATCCACGAGACAGTCTGTACTCTCTCTAGAATTCACAACAGTTTGCCACCAGAATCTCTTCCAAGGGGTCCCCAGCCAGCCAAAGAGCAGAGATTCAATCTCTCAGCTGGCATCTGGGACTTAACACATCAGCAACTCTAACTCAGAGGTGCACACAAGTACTCTCACAGTGGTAGCCCTGTGGTCAGCGCTTAGACATGAGATTTAGCCCTGGAGCTCAATTACTGCATCAGAGACAATTACAAATATGAATGATCTTTATTCAGCGCAAAGCATAACAAGAGACTAATAGAGGATACAAAATTAATAACTACCTATGGCTATTTGCCCTTACTGCACATTAATAATAACTATAGTTACCGAGTTAAGTATAGCATCAGGTAGTCCAAGATTGTCCAGTGCGTAACAGTACAGGTTGGCACCAAGGGATTTTGAAGAGAAATCCCAATTTGTGCAGGTATATAGTCCAGGACTGCTCAGAGATACAGATCCACACTAACAGAAGGTTGGCAATTGGCAATCAGTTCACAAAGAAGCTCTTTGTTTCAAAAGTCAGGATCCCAGGAGCAAGAGAGCTCTTCCCTAAAGAACCATAGAGTTATACCCCCATGCCAGTCACCATCAGCTGTGGCCATCAGTCAATCACGAGCGGCAGGGGTGTGTGCCTAATTTCTGGTTGCCATAGCTGCCAATATCAGGTGTGTGGGGATTGGCTAAGAAGTTAGAGGCCCTGCCTGCAGTCAGGTGATCCAACTTCCAGTTTTCTCCATTGTGTATGTGACATGGCCCATGTAGGCCATAGAAGAGGAACCTTCAAGTCTGGCCCTCAGCAGAGAGGTGTTAAGGAATGTGGGTATCTGGCATGATTATATGGCATGGCTATTTGGTGATTCAGCTATCTGGTCAAGTGACAGAAATCACACTAGGCCATCTGACCTGCAGCAGGAAAAAGACACACAGAATGTCATCACAGGAAGAAGGCATGAGACTTTAGAAACAATATTTCTATACACGTGGCTACGGGCCTTTCCTCTTTCCAAACCAGCACCCAGCCTTCTAATTGGGGCACCTTGGGGAGGAAGTTGCCAGTTTAGGGGTTCCCAATATTTCAAGGGTCACTTCAGGCAACACATTCATAACATGTTATTGGATGCCTTATTGGATTTCACCATTTACCGATTTGTAGTCTTATTTTAAAAAAGCACTCTGATGTTCCTGAGTTGTTGCATAAACTATATTAGAATTGATTGCAGGAAGCCCCCTTCTTAATTCCATTAATTAGAATTCCATTTATTTTTATTACTATACCACACATAAGCTCAGTTTATTTATTTATTTATTTATTTATTTATTTATTTATTTTGGGATTTATATCCCGCCCTACCCGTACGGCCCAGGGTGGCAAACAAGCGGCAACGCCGGAAATAAAACATAGGTTACATTAAAACATCAGTAAATACAGACTAAAATGGTGCTCTACAGTTCATTTTAAAGTTCATTTTAAAGTTCAAGATGGTAGATGTCCCTCACTGGCGGCCGATGGTGTAAACACATGAGCGCCAGAATGATGTTCCTCTTCTGGGCGGCGACTGCCCCCATCCAAAGCCAGGTAGATGGTAAATCTCTAACAATGTCACTGAACTATTATCAAATGACCACTACCCCTATACCTCGCTAGCTAAATGAAACTCCTCAATGCTGTCACTAGATA